AAGACCTCCAAGGTCCCTTCCAGCTCTATTCTGATTGATCAATTGAAATGGCCTAGGGTCTCCTGCTTGAGCAGGGGGGTTAGACTAGAAGACCTCCAAGGTCCCTTCCAGCTCTATTCTGATTGATCAATTGAAATGGCCTAGGGTCTCCTGCTTGAGCAGTGGGGTCAGACTAGAAGACCTCCAAGGTCCCTTCCAGCTCTATTCTGATTGATCAATTGAAATGGCCTAGGGTCTCCTGCTTGAGCAGTGGGGTCAGACTAGAAGACCTCCAAGGTCCCTTCCAGCTCTATTCTGATTGATCAATTGATTGGAATGGCCTAGGGTCTCCTGTTTGAGCAGTGGGGTCAGACTAGAAGACCTCCAAGGCCCCTTCCAACTCCATTACTCTACATTCTGAACAACTCCAAGCAGCGGGGCTCCCATTGGGTACGGCATTCCTGTTCACCCCTTAAAATCCCCCTCCCCAAATGACCCTTTGACCTGCCCAAGGCTTAAATCAGCTGCAGATTCAGACAATGAGGAGATTGGGGAGGAACCTGGGGCCGGGCCTGGAGTCTGGGGAAGGATGACAGTTATCAGCTGCCTTCGGAGTCAGACATCAGTGAGGCAGAAGAACAGCTGGAGCCTGTTCCCAGTGGGCGCATGCCCAGAGCTGCCAGATGAAGGGAAGAGCTAAAGAACAGGTAAGTAAGGCCACAGGTGGACAGTGAATGGCCCCTCCCAGAGGGAATAAAAGCGGAGCAACTGGGGAGTGGAGTTTGCAGGAGGCCATTCGTTCATTCCTGCATTCTTGCCAAGTATTGCGGCATCTGAAAGATATCGGCCTGGCCACTCTCCAAGCCTGATAAAGGTCGCTAAGTGTGAACTCTCTTGAAAGACTGTGGGAGAGGAAAGACTTAGCTGGAGAGGAATTCCCTGTCAATTAAATAAAAGGGGTTTATCGGGACGAGGACTCGGCTTCCTGCTGCTGGGGAAACCTCGGTCAGAACATGTGGGAACTCCTTTTCTTCCGCAAATGAGGGTCAATATCAGGCCACGATTAAGCGATCCCTTCCTGGCACCGTGTCCCAAGGCGTCGCGTTTCTGCAAACCGGCTGAAGCGATAAGCGAAACGCATCTCCCCGCAAGCAGAAAGGTAGCGTGTCAGTATTTTAACTGGGTTTTTCTTTTTTAGGGCTAGCTTTCTCCGCGCAAGGAGACCCCGCCCCTCCAATTATTACCGATCGCCAGAACGAGGATGAAAGGTCTCCTCCGACCCATTGGGGAAGAGCACCGGTCACTCCAGGCCCCCAGTAAGGGCTGCAGCAAGAAACCTGGGAGAAAAAGAAAGAAAATTGGAGTCAGGTGACTCGGCTGTCCCTGTTACTAGAAGTCTTCTGTAGGGCTCACTCACACCAACACTGTCAGGACGTATAAAAAGAGAACAGATCCCCACACCCTTCCAGCACTGATGATGTTACCCAGTTGGGTAATAAAACGTCTGCAAGAAAATAAGTTCAGGGAACACCAAGGACTCCACAGGCCTCCTCCTCCTCTTCCTCCCCTTCTTCTTCCTCCTCTTCTCTTCCTCCCCCTCTTCCTCCTCCTCTTTCTCCTCTTCCTCCTCCTCTTCTCTTTTTCCTCCTCTTCCTCCCCCTCTTCCTCCTCCTCTTTCTCCTCTTCCTCCTCCTCTTCTCTTTTTCCTCCTCTTCCTCCCCCTCTTCCTCCTCCTCTTCTCTTCTCCTCTTCTTCCTCCTCCTCTTCCTCCTCCTCTTCTCTTTCTCCTCTTCCTCCCCCTCTTCCTCCTCCTCTTCTCTTTCTCCTCCTCTTCCTCCCCCTCTTCCTCCTCCTCTTCTCTTCTCCTCTTCTTCCTCCTCCTCTTCCTCCTCCTCTTCTCTTTCTCCTCTTCCTCCCCCTCTTCCTCCTCCTCTTCTCTTTTTCCTCCTCTTCCTCCCCCTCTTCCTCCTCCTCTTCTCTTCTCCTCTTCTTCCTCCTCCTCTTCCTCCTCCTCTTCTCTTTCTC